GCGGGTTCCAAGACAGTTTAATTTCTTCCTGGGACTTCCCGAGTGTCATAACTCGGTGTGTTCGTGGGTCACTGCTGTGGATCCTGGTGTACAGGAGTTACAGTGGTGGGCATGTGGGCGGGATTAGTCCCGTAGCGTCGGCCAAAGTATTGGCCGACGCCGGCAGGCTGCTCATCGGTTTCGTGAGCGCCAGGATCACAGTCCTGGCGGCGAGACCGATGAGATGCTACAAATGCCTAGCATCGGGACACACGCGCGTCAAGTGCGACAGTTGTTTTGACTGCGGCGGACTGTGTTTCCGCTGCGGTCAACCGGGGCATAAGGCGGCAGAATGCTCTGCCGCCCCTCACTGCCCAGTGTGTGCGGCGGGCAATAAGCCCGCCAATCACCAGATGGGGCAGAGAGGCTGCAAGCCTCCCCGCAGTTCTCGGCAGACGTCGGGGGTTAGCCAGTCGACCCAGGCTGCCTCCGATGTAGTTCGTGCGTCGACGTCGTCGCCCATGGAGGAGGTTGTAGAGACGATCCAGTAATGGATCAAGTCTCCAACCTCCTGGTCCAGACGAACCTGAACCACTGTGCCGCGGCGCAGGATCTCTTCCTGCAAACCATGGCACAGTGGTCGATAGGTGTTGCCGTAGTCGCGGAGCCCTATTCTGTCCCTCCCCGTCCAAACTGGATGGGTGACTGGGACGGCTCCGTGGCAGTCGTCGGTTCCACGACGGCTCATTCCCCGCCCTTGTCGCTAAGAGACAAGGGCACTGGATATGTTGCCGTCGAGTGGGGGGGGATCACCATATATGGTGTCTATTTCTCCCCCAACCGGAGTTTGAACGACTTCGAGGTTTTCCTAACCAGCTTGGAGACCTCGATACGGCGACTAGCGTCTGGGCACGTCCTTGTGCTGGGGGACTTCAACGCAAAGTCCATTGCGTGGGGTTCCCCCAGGACGGACGCCAGGGGCGAGGCCGTAGAGGAGTGGGCGGCCTCGGTGGGCCTCTGTCTTCTAAACAGAGGCTCCACCAACACGTGCGTGCGACAGCAGGGGGGGTCGATAGTGGACCTTTCGTTCGCTACCCCTGCCCTCGCCGCACGAGTAAGGAACTGGTGTGTCCTGGAAGAGGTTGAGACGCTCTCGGATCACCTGTATATCCGATTTGAGCTCTCCCGGACCCAGGACTCCAGTAGGGGTCACGTGGCGCGGCGTTTATCCCGCTTTCCGCGGTGGGCTGTTGCCAGGCTGAACCGGGACCTACTAGAGGAGGCAGCCATAATTCACTCGTGGCTGTCTCCTCAGGCTCCGACCGAGGAGGTCGACGTGGGGGCTGGCCGCTTTCGCGATGCGATTACGCATGTATGCGATGCGGCCATGCCCCGCGTTCGAGGTCGTCGGCCTCCAAGGAAGGAGGTCTACTGGTGGTCCCAGGAGCTGGCGGACCTCCGTGCGGCCTGTACACGTGCCCGGAGGTCCTACACGCGCAGTCGGCGGCGTCACCGTGGAGACGGTGAGGAGGACCGGCTTCATGAGGAGTACCGACGGGCGCGGAAAACTCTGAAGCTGGCCATTAGCCGCGCCAAAGAAGAAAAAGGACAGGAGATGCTGGAGGGTCTTAATCGTGACCCTTGGGGTCGCCCTTACCGCGCGGTGCGACAAAAGCTCCGCGCGTCGGGCCCCCCCCTTACGGAGACTCTCCAGCCCAGCTTCCTGCGAGAAGTGGTTGAGGGCCTTTTCCCGCAACGAGCGGAACACACTCCCCCGGCGATGGCCTCCTTGGCCGGAGACGACGGGGAGCACGGGGAGGAAAATGTTCCGCCCGTCCGGGATTCGGAGGTAGGGGCGGCTGTTCTACGGATCCGTTCCAAGAACACCGCCCCTGGGCCAGACGGGGTACCGGCCCGAGTGCTGGCCCTGGCCCTCAACCACTTGGCAGACCGCCTCGGGGAGGTGTTCGACGCTAGCTTGGCGTCGGGACGCTTCCCTGAGTGCTGGAAGAGCGGGAAGCTGGTCCTATTGAGGAAGCCGGGACGGCCTGCCGATTCGGTCGCGGCCTATAGGCCCATCGTGCTGCTGGACGAGGCGGGCAAATTGTTTGAGAGGGTTCTTTCTGCCCGCATCGTCCGGCACCTCTGCGAGGTGGGCCCCGATCTGTCGGACGCCCAATTTGGTTTTCGGGCGGGGCGTTCGACAGTCGACGCTGTGTTGCGCCTGAGGGCCGTGACCGAAGAGGCCGTGAGCTGTGGCGGCGTGCTGTTGGCGGTGTCATTGGACATCGCCAACGCATTCAATAGTCTGCCATTCAGCTGCATCAGGGAAGCACTCCACTATCATGGGGTGCCAAAGTACCTGAGGCGGCTGGTGGCAGACTATTTAGAGGAGCGTACCGTCGTGTACGAGGACCGAGAAGGTAATTTGAGGAGTCGGCCCATGTCGTGCGGTGTTCCACAGGGGTCTGTTCTTGGACCCCTCTTGTGGAACATAGGGTACGACTGGGCCCTTCGCGCCGATTTCCCCCCCGGGCTGGGTGTAATCTGTTACGCAGACGATACCCTCGTGACAGCCCGGGGGGCAAACTTCCAAGAGGCGGCGCGCCTGGCCACAGGGGGAGTCTCCCTGGTGGTCGGGCGCATTGAGGCGCTGGGCTTACGGGTGGCCCTAGATAAGACGGAGGCCCTGTTATTTCATGGGCCCCGTCGTGGTCCACCCCCTGGCGCCTCAATCGTGGTCAACTCGGTCCTCGTACCGGTTCGGGCCCAGATGAAATATCTGGGCCTGATCCTCGACGGGAGGTGGCTCTTCGACGAGCACTTCCGACAGCTTGCTCCAAAGCTGGTCGGCGCTGCGTCTGCCCTAGGGCGACTTTTGCCCAATATGGGTGGACCCAGCGTCGCGACAAGACGGCTGTACACGGGGGTTGTCCGGTCAATGGCGCTGTACGGTGCACCGGTGTGGGCGGCGGCTCTGACCGCCCAGAATAGGGTACGCCTCTGGCGCCCTCAGAGGGTAATGGCGGTCAGAGCCATACGCGGTTACCGCACCGTTTCTACGGAGGTGGCATGCGCGTTGGCCGGAACTCCCCCGTGGGATTTGGAGGCGGAAGTGCTCGCCGAAGTTTATCGGCGAGTGGCTGACTCCCGGGCGGAGAGCGGATTTCGCCCTCCGCCCGAGGATGTGCGCGAGTGGCGCGAAGCCGCTCGCCGAGCCACAATGGCTCGTTGGTCGTTCCGGCTGGAGACTCCACGCGCTGGCTTCGCCGCCGTGGAGGCTCTCCAGCCGGTCATCGCCGAGTGGGCAGGGCGGCAGCACGGGACCCTTTCCTTCCGACTGACGCAGGTGCTTTCCGGGCACGGTTGCTTCGGAAAGTACCTGCACACGGTCGCTAGGAGGGAACTGAGTCCCGCCTGCCACCACTGCGACTGCAGTGAGGACTCGGCCCAGCACAAGCTGGCGGTCTGCCCCGCATGGGCGGCGCAGCGCCGGGCCCTCACTGCAGTCATCGGAGTGGATCTCTCGCTACCGGCCGTAGTACGCTCCATGGCCGGTAGCGACAGTTGTTTTACCGCGGTCGCAACCTTCTGCGAGGTAGTAATCTCGCGGAAGGAGGCGGCGGAGAGGGCCCGGGAGGACGACCTCCACTCGGACCCGATCCGCCGCCGGCGAACCGGGCGGCGGAGGCCCGCCTACCACAGCCTCGTGCCGCCCTGAGTGTGGCCGCGGGTGGACGGGGTGGGTTTCCCCTCCACCCGCATTAGTTGGCCAGCCGCGAGGGGGCGGCGTCCGCGTGTGCCGGACGTCGCCTAAAGAGAGGAACATCTACATTGAGACGGAGCCCGCACCAGGAGCGGGCTGGCGCTAGGAGGGGTCCGGATGTCTTAACAACAGCTGTTCCCGGATCCCTCCTGTTACAGGCGCGGAGTGGCACACCGTGTGGTTTTAGTCGGTCCGAGTCCGACACACCACCCCGCCGCAAACCCCGGAGGGGTGACGGTCCGAGGGGATTTCCACACGTTAAAAAAAAAAAAAAAAAAAAAAAAAGGGTTTGTGTCAAGTTTTCCTTCTCTCTGCAGTGCTGTTGTCCTGCGTATTTCGCTCCCTTAATCGCCTCTTACGACACCCACGGGATGAATAGGGGTGGTGACTCTGTATCCTTAATCCGTCACACACTTTAATAATTAAATATTAGTCATACCGTATACCATTATTTATTATAGCTGGTATGGTTTGCCAAATTTTACAAATGTATTAATTGATACTGAATCAGCGTAACTTTTGTAAGCAAACATTGGCTTTTCACTTAAATCTTTAATTTTTTCTGAACATAAATTCGACTGATAATTCAAAATGACTACACGGATGGCGTAGTGGTTTAAGCGGTCACCTCGCTGAGTGTTGTGGGTCCGATCCCCGCATGGGACAACACTTTGTGTGATCTACAAATTGTTGTTCTGAGTCTGAGTGCTCTTTGTGTCCGTTTCATGGTATATTTTCGAAATCCCCCGCGACACAGGATATATTCATGGTGCGGGCATCGTCTTTAAAAAAAAAAAAAAAACACAGGCCAATTTTGTTCGAAAGTTCCCGCTTGATTACGATGCTGGTGTCATCTCTCCAGGGCTTTGTAACCGCAAACATGTCATTAATCATGTTATATCTCAGAACTAATGTTCCAAGAAGTAACGTATCATTTACTACAGAAAATATTTGGCAGTAGATGAACAATGTGAAATGATGAGAGTTTTGTTCAGTTAACGTAATGACGGTTTCCCAAGATCAAACATAAAACAACTACAAGTAGTTACAAATTAATTAGTATTAAATCATTAAGTTGAGGGGAGAGTTAGGTTTTTCAGTCAGACAACAAATATCTAAAGCACTCGTACTTCGTTTTTTCTTTTTCATTTCGTAGTTGAAAAAATAAGCAATAAATCGATTTTTGTAAACTGGCTGCTTCCATGAAGTGTTTATCCGTGCAACATCGTTACTAAGGAACACTTATTCATTACAGATCCATTACGACGCGGTCTTTACGGTGACTTGTGTTCTATCACCGAAGACTGTCACTTTCGGGACGCAGTGTGTGACGACGTGCAAAAGACGTGTCATTGCCATCCCGACGTCCCTATCAGTAACTACAAAGACAAATGTGGAAAACGTAAGTTATGCAATAATAATTATTATTTGTAAAAAAAATGTTTTCTATTAAATTATGTTTCTAGTAAATTATGTGTTGGCAATGCAAACATCGAGTTTAGCTATTACATATAATAATCAAAGCCCTTATTCCAATTTAATTTTTAGGCAAATACATCGTTGACTAAAATTGCAAATTGTTACTTAACATTATGATTATTCGTCTGTTCAAACTATCATTTCTGTTTATTGGTTAAGGACAAGTAGGTGTGCTGTGCGAAGTCGGACACTCGAAGTTCTTTTTTAACACTAGTAACGATTGCTTAGTTTTTAAATATTTTATACACATACTAATACATCGTATACGTAAAGTTTAATCGGTCAACAAATAGCCATGTTACATTATATGTTGCTATTGGTGATAAAATATTCGACACAAAACTACTATGAATAATGTAATATTGTTTGACTTTGAGACACAATGGTGCAATATTTAGAAGCCATTAGAATCTTTAAAAAAATGTTTAGGCTGATTTATCATTTATTTCATTGAACTGTGACAGAAGATTTAATGTTCTTGAGACGTAGGAAGAAAAAACATATTTTTGGAAATAACATAAATGTATCGTATATTCAATAAAATGATATGAGACATAAAAATATAATTTACTTTACACATATTTAAATCGCGCCACTGTCGGTCTACTTCTTGTGAGCTTCTGCTTAACAACGTATTTTATGATGTTCTGTCGTGTGTTGAAATGACTCAACTTTTGTGTTTGTAACTAATTTAAATAGTGATTAAATCAAAAAGTAAATTATAACCCCACTGGCGTGTCTGCAAAAAGTAATTCTAGGTTTTTATTTGTCACAAAGAAAAATTAAAGTTTAGTGTTGTTGTAGCTAATGATAAGCTCAATATTAAAAACGACTGGTCCTTCTTTTTAAAATTATACTAAAAGAGAGTAAATTCGTAAATTTGTGTTTCTGAGCGAAAATGATTTTTTTTTGTTTCAAATTACCACCTATTCTTTTTTTTTTTCCGTGCGGAAATCCCCTCGGATACCACTTGTCGGTGGCATGTCGGACCAAATTACCACCTGAATTAAATTTATACCTACACATAGCACCGTTCTTGGTTTAACACATCAATATGCAGATTCAGACTGCGAGAAACATTATCGAAATCTTTCGAATGGAAGCATGAATATGCACGCAATGGGAAACTGGGCCAATGCTTACGCTGCAATACTAAGCCAATATTTGAAAAGGTTAATATACCTGTAATAAAATCACAAGCCCTTAGACTGACTCCGATAGATTTATTAATTTAGTTGAATAGTTTTGGATATAGTCAGCTTAGTTGGGTAATATAAAATATTGCACCTGGATAAACTAAAAGTGTTCAAGGAGGAATAGGACACCATAAAAGCATACATATAATTTTGACAAAAAATAAAAGTAATTAACATTTTTTTTATAAAATAAAATGTAATTTACAACTGCTAGACAAAATAAAAACTCATGACTTATTTAATTAACATTTATATATAAAAGAAATGTACTAGATAGTTCTTGAATTAACTTTGTAACGTTAATTCAAGAACCATCGTGTTTTACCGATAAAGATGTATGTTTATGATCATATATTCGTCATCATAATATACTAAAATAATCTCTAAAGGTAGATGGAAAACATGCCTTGCATTTTCTACGTTAGTAGGATTGCACATAAAATGAATAGTAAAAACTTCGATCGTCACTAAAATATACCAACTTGGAAACTCGTTCAGCTTCTACGTAGTTTAGCCCAAATTATTTTGGGCATTCAAGTATTTAATATTTGGAAAGCGGATCGTAATAGAGGGTTCAATTAGTGTAATTGGAAACCTTCAGAGAATATAAATATTGGTGATTATATTGTCTCGCGCTGCGCTGTTTAATGGAGATCTTGGTGTGTTTATTTACTTTATTGGTATCGATTCTAATGATGCTTTAGCATTGGGAAATACAATAAAGAAATAATGATTGAGAAAGAAATTTTAATCACCTACATAAGTCTGAAAATTGAACTGACTAATTTCTAAGCTATTTCGAGAGAATTCCCGTTCAAGTCTTTGATACATGAACGACCAACTTGTCTGTTTGGTGATGCAACGGCAAATCTGTATGATGTTCAGAGAATTCTTGCTTCTGATCTTTGTGAAGTGGAGTGAGTTTGATTAGATGATCAAGTAATCATCTAGTCAAACTCACGTGTCACGGAACTCGGACGCGTGTCAGTTCAACTTCAACGTAATAACTTCACTGAGTGCTTGTTGATGTGGTCTAAAACCTCGGGAATTGATTCCAGAAGATTTGAGTTCGTTTTTCCCGAGTATGTTAACCATATGTTATATAGCTACCCCCAGAAACCATGGGGTGAAACGCTTTTTTTATAATGACTGAATCTTTACCGGCTTTTATTATAAAGATGTATAAAAATAAGGTTATGCACTCATTTTTTGTAGGTTTTTGTATATTAATCTTAAAAATAAGATCATCAAACTAAAATAAAATCATAGGGCGTAGTGTAACACATTTCTGATGTACGTTATTTTTAAACTACTTTAGGTGTCAGTTAAATAAATTTTTGCCATAATGTATGCCTAAATTTGCACTTGTGAAAACATTTTTTTGTTCAAAGTATAACAATGGCCTTTCTTTAATGGAAATGCTTCTTTGGTGGTTTTTAGAGTAAGAGGTTCCGTGAAACACTTTTTGTGCTAGCTAGGGTCATGTCTGTTTCCGTAATGCCTTCTTTGTTCTTAAGAATTGTTTCAGGAATTGTCGTGTCTATTTACAACTGTAGGTAGCGACCTCGTTATTTTTAATTTTCCTTGGCTATTTTATATATCTGTGTGGTGAGGGATTAAGAATTCAGAGTATAACTATCCCTAATTATCCAACAGCACTGCAAAGAGAAGCAAAACTTGAACCAAAATTGAATCTATACCAACCTAGCTCAAAACCTCCTTTCCAAGGGGAGGCCTATGTTTAGCAGTGGACTGTTAAAGTCTGTTGATGATTTTATTCCCATTATTTATTTATGACAAATTACGATTTGTAAACAAAAGTGTCTATTTTGTATAACATTTTCGGAAGTGTCTAACAGAAAAAAAAACAACTTTGAAATATGCTACATATCAATTTAAAAGGCTAAAGCTATCACTTAAATAGCAAGGCATTGCGTGTAACAACGTCATATTCTCTTAATAGTTTTAAAAGGGTCGTATAGGATAAACCCGGATCAATGGCTGCAGTGTTCGTGCATATCGCGTTTCACCAATGTTGTTAAGTGATGGTAAGGTAATTGTTTTATTAAAGGCATCCTTAGGCAAAGGATGACATCATTGGCGTAGTGGAATAACAAGGACAGTTTTGTTATTTCTTGAGCTATATTACTTAAACATTGTTTTAACTTTGTTACATTTTCAAGTTTTTCATTCATTTCATTAAATAATTGCATTGTAAAAAAATGGTATACAAATAACCTAACGACAATAATGCTAGTACATAATATTACAAACCTTTGAATTGAATAGACCTATCCTGTGACTAATGTCGGTACAACCTAGTCGAAATGTACAAAAGTTTAAATCTTGTTATTTATACACATAAGATCGCCATTCACTCTGAGGTAGTAAACGTTTCTGCTACCGTTAATCAGTTTTTATTTTATTTTATTTTATTTATTAGGGACAAAAAACAGTTATACAATGCAGTCTTTACAATTGATTTAGCATTTACATATTTAAAACGTATAACCCACACTATTGTCCACGAGTTTACAGATAAAGTAGAAAAGGTAACGGACGCGCACTATACACAATCGGTGAATTACATGTAATAATATAAGATAGATAGGTAGTTAACTGAGAATGTTATCATAGATCAGCAAGAATTTCAGTGGCAATTTTTTTAAATTTAGAGTGAGTGAGAGCGAAAATATCCAAGCTCGTAGCATGTGAGTTGTACGTTGTCAATAATCGGCGAAGAGGTGCACGCTCTCCAGCATTAGTTCTACACTTCTCCGTGTAGAATAACCGAGGTACGCGCACCTCCCTCCGAATGACAGACCTGGGTACTACATAACATAGCCTGTTTGATAATTCTGTACAATTATACTTGTTATTGCATATGCCGTACAGCATCATTAACATTAGTAAGATGCGTCTATGCTCCAAGCTTAAGAGCTTAAAATGTTTCAGAAGATCCACATAAGGAATCTTAGCATGAAAACATTTGTAATAAGTAGTACGAAGAAATTTTTTCTGTACCATTTCAATCCTCTGCTTATATTTCTTATAAAAGGGGCTCCAAATGGGTACAGCATACTCTAACTGGGAACGGACTAGTGCTTTATATAGGAAAAGGTAGGTAGTGGGCTTTTTGAAGTCTTTACAGGAGCGCATGACGCAACCATACATCCGAAAGGCTTTACTTATGACATTGTCGACATGAATATCTAAATGTAATTTAGAATCTAGATGAACACCAAGATCTCGAGTACATTCGTTTTTCCTTAGACTTGTGTCATTCAGTGTATATGGAAAGTTAATAGGACTTTTGTTCTTTGTGAAGGATATAAAGTGACATTTTGGTAAACTAAGGTGCAGTTTATTAACAACACAGTACTGTGAGAGCCTACAAAGATCTTCTTGCAATAGTATGCAATCCTGAGTATTCGTGCAGGTCTTATAGATTTTCATATCGTCAGCATACATTAGGAATTTAGAGTTAACTATACAGGTACTAATATCGTTTATAAACAAAATAAAAAGCAAAGGGCCTAGTACTGAGCCCTGGGGCACTCCGGACTCGACGACCATAAAATCGGACTCATAACCATTGATAACGACCTTTTGAGTTCTACGGAATATGTATGATGTGAACCACCTAAGTAAATTACCTCTGATGCCGTTGAAGGCAATTTTGTCCAAAAGCAATTTGTGGTCCACCTTATCAAAAGCCTTTTGAAAG